GGACGGGTTCTCACTAAATAATCCAGGTCTTGAACTCATTAGCCCAGACTAGCTTTGAACTCAGTGATCCTCCTGCTTCAGCCTCCTGTAGATAGACATGGCGGTGGCTTAATAAAACTTTTATTATCTGCCATTGTGTTCTTCAATTACATTTGCCAACTTTTCCTCTCCTAAGCTGCTGCCATTCAACACAGTAACAGATGTGGAAAAATAAGAATTTTTTGATAATAGATATGTTCAATAGTGTCACCCATGGCATTTGTGTTTCTTACTGTGGTTTACATGTATCATGATATGAAGCAATATGCACAAACTAAAAAGACATTAAAGCAACTGCCAAACTATACATAAAGCTTGTGTCTGCACAAATACACTGTTCAGTTAACTACACAGTGAAAAACAAAAGTGACTTGAAATACCTTGAGAAACAGGTAAAAGAAAATCTGTTAGTACCGTCTACCTAGAATGTACCAATAAATTAAATTAAAAAAAAAAAAGAAAGAAAATCTGTTAAAGTAGCAGAGGTATTAAATCTCACTCAATTCTGATAATGGTTGGACCATTAACAGTTCTGGGGGCTTTTACTTTTGATGGTGGTAGGGCTCGAATTCTGGGCCTTGCACATCCTAGGTAGGTGCTCTACCACTGAGCTATATCCCCAGACCTAGTTTTGTTCTTATTCCTAACATGTTTTTTATATATGTTAGAAATGTAAGTCAAACTAAAATCATGTAAGAAAGTTAAAAGTACTAAAATCAGTGAAGAGTAAATCTAGCTGTAAGGACTGCATGCCTATAATGCCAGCTATGTAGGAGGCTGAGGCAAAAGTACCACAAGTTCGAGGCCAGCTTGGGTGACTCAGCAAGACCCTGTCTCAAAATTTAAAAATTAAAATTAAAAATTAAAAGGGATAGCTTAGTACTCTGGATTCAATTATCAGAATTGCAAAAGTAAAAGAGTGAATCTAGAGGCCAGGAATTTAGCTCAGTGGTTCCGTCGCCTGCTGCGCAAGCGCAAGGACCCAAGTTCAATCCCTGGTGTCAAAAATAAAAATAATAAAAAAAGTGAATCTAGTAGTATGTACAAAGTTATATGTGAGCAAGTTTAATGTTGCAAAAGGAAGTATTTGCTAGTTTTCATATAAGGTTTCTGTATCCATATTACTATAACGAATTATCAAATAATGTCTTAACCCAAAAATTATGTATAGTAGCTGGGCACAATAGCATATACCTGTAATCCTAACAATCTACAAGGCTGAGATAGAAGAATTTCAAGTTTGAGTCCAGCATGGGCAACTTAGAAATTTCCCATCTCAAAAATAAAACAGGGCTGGGGATGTAGCTTAGTGTGAAGGCTCTGGGTTCAATCTCCTGTACTGCAAAAGAAAACAAACCAAGACACTGTCCCAAAAGTCTGAACACCACAGTCACAGTGAAGAGTTGCCTCTAATAGTGAAGTTGGGCCTTGGAACTAGAAGTGTTGGGTGTGGGTAGGAGTTTAAACCTCAGGAAGGTTTAAAAGGCCTACCTCCAACAATCTAAAGATGGTTAGAGGAAGGAGCTGACAGAGTGATGACTCTATAAACTACATGATTGTAAAGGTCAAAGAAGTGAGTTACTGCCGAGCATGATGGCTCACACCTATAATCACAGTACTTGGGGAGATAAAGCAGGAGGATCACCATGAGTTCGAGGCCAGTAAAGGTTACATAGTGAGTTCAAAGTCAGCTTGAACTACACAGCAAGACTCTTGTCTCAAAAAAAACGTGGGGGGGTGAGTTACTAACTCAAAACACTGATTGACTAACCATCCTCCCCTTCTCCAGATTATCACACCAAATATAACCCAAACCTCTAGGCTCAGAATTCACATCCCTTCCCACCTCTGGCTCTCATTCAAAGTCTTCCCTTCCTCCACTGAACACTCCACACTCACTTAGGGGCCTTAGATCAGCACCTGCACTAGTCTTGACTGTGGAAGCCAGCCACAGGAGTCATTCAACTGTTGGGTGAATGGAGACCACAGGTGGATTCCCAGAGCTCAGCCATTTTAGCCTATTTTCTGAGGCTTAGCACAAGCCAAGGCCATAGACAGCTCACTGTGTTAATGTAAAAATTTTTGTTACTGGGAATTTTTTTGTTGTTGTTGTTGTTACTGGGGATCAAACTCAAGACCTTGTGCTTGCCAGGCAGGCACTGTGTCGCTGAGCGACATACCCGGTTCCTCTTACTGGTCATTTTAAGCATGTAGGAGAAGAGATTAGTATAACTTCCATGTACCCACAGTTTCAGTAATTTTCAACTAAAAGCCAATCTGGTAAATTGCAATTTCTCAAAAGACAACCTGATACTAACTACAAAGCTCTCTAACCATGGGTCTTGTAACAGCCCATGAAGATCCATGAAAAAGAGGTTATGATGGAACCAAAAAGAACCAGACTAGACTCTACCAGGAGGAAGTAGTATCATAATAGACCTATGTTAAGCTGGATGGTGAAGACAGACAGGGCTTCCAGGACAAGCTTCACTGGGGAGTTACAAAAACCAGAACTTATCTGGTTGGAGCCAATAGTCTCTGATATATGAGAAAATTTTAACTCTGAAAAAAGGGCCACCTATAGGTTTAAAGTGTTCAGGTAGGATCACGAAGAAGCTTGGGGTCCCTGGTCCTGAATCTTGAGTCACATCAGCTACCTAAGACAGTAACCCTAGTGCTCCAAGATAAGTGAAAACTATTCCTTAAGAAAGGAGTAAAAAGCTGGGTGTGGTGGCATATGCCTATAATCCCAGCATTCAGGAGGCTGAAGCAGGAAGATAACTGAGAGTTCCAGGCCAGACACAGTTACATAGTGAGTTCGAAGCCAGCCTGAACTACACAGTGGCACCTTGCCTTGAAAAACCAAACTAAACCAAACCAAACCACCCACAAAAACAAGAGAGAGAGCCAGAGATTTAGCTAAGTGGTCCCACCGGCTGCTTCACAAGCATAAGGTCCCAAGTTCAATCCCTAGTACCAAAAAAACAACAAAAAAAACCCAAAAACCAAAAAAAGAGAGACAGAAAGAAAGCAATAAAATTAAAATAGAAACAATGAAGGCTGGGGATGTAGCTCAGTGGCGCTATGCCTACCTGGCAAGCACAAGGTCCTGATTTCAACTCCCAATAGGGAGGGAGAGAAATAATGAATAAGCAAATGTAAATCAAGGTACTGAAATACTTATAAATAGTTCCAGTGCCACATGTACAATTATACATGTGACATGTATAATACTGTGTGTCTACTTTTTAAGATACATATGCACTTAGAGTAATTTCTAGCTGTGGACTGTGGCTCAGGGGCAGAGTGCTTGGGCACGATCCTGAGGCTACTTCAGGCATCATGCTACCTGCTTACAGTGGGGGAGGATGGCTGAGGGGAAGAGGGAGGAGTTCTTAGAGCTGCCACCTAGTTCAGTTAGAAGCCCCTTACGCTAGGGACTTTTATTTTGGTATTGGGGATCAAACTTTCAACCTTGTACTTGTGAGGCAGGCTGGTGCCAATGAGCTAAATCCCCGGCCCCTTCTGGGATCTTAATAATTAACAGCTTTATCACTTGCCTCTCTACCTACCTTCACCTTTTGTTCCCAGGCTCTCAACTTTGGCTGGCCTCTACAATCTCCTACTGATGTGTTCTGATCCTACCTCTAGAGATTTGGATTTAACTGATCCAGCGTGCAGCTGGCATGAGACTATGGAAAATTCCCCAGGTGACTCTAATGAATAACCGGGGCTGAGAAACACTGATCTAACTGTAAGTCATCTCTGCTTTCCCTTTGTAATTTTATGTTCCTACCTCATACTGTGGTTATGTTTGTTTCTTCCCTCTCCTGCTATTCCAGATGGCCTTCCAAACAATGCATGCAACCCTTCACGCACTGACTCCAAGTGCCAGCTGCTGCTGGAAATAGCAGTCACACCTTACTTGGAGATAGATTTTATAGTCAATGCTTATAGCACAAGAGTCAAAAGTTACTCTCCACAACACTTCTGTAAGACTCTGCCTGGATCCTGACACTGTCTCCCCATCACCTGTCCATAGTTTCCTCCTGGACAGGAACAGAAAGTTGCCTCCTCCAGGCATCAAAGAAGGTAGGTGGTTTGTTTTGAGGCCACTTTGCATTAAAAAAAAAAATGTAAGTTTAAACATGTGCCTCAGGCCAGCAGGATGCTCACACCATGAACAACCCACAGGCACCAGTGACTGACCCTATAGGAGACACACAGTTCCCATCACACACCCACTCCTGAGCATATGGTCCTCATAGCCACCAGTGAGTAAAATCACCCACACCATTTAAGATGTTTTTGTCAAGGATAGAGAGCTGAACTCATGTGCTCTGCTATATGAACAATGTCCTTCCACTGCACAACTATATTCAGCTTAAGTGGGCCTTTCTCTTCCTCTACCTGCCCCACAAGGAGCTGGCTAGTCCCTCTCCTTCACTAACCCTAACCCTTCCCGGCCCCCTCAAAGGCTGCTGTTTCATAAGAGTGTAACACTGGCATCTCTCATTAACTCTTCTCCCCAGGGCTCTCAGCTCTACGTAGAGTTTCTGACTTATGAGACTTCTATATGCAGTAAAGGGTGGCACAGCCGAAGAGCTCTCCCCACTTTTACTTTGAGAGGGAAAGAAAGCCAATCTAAACTTTGGGAGCTGGGCCTATAAGGCACAAAAGAACACAGTAAGTACACAATAGGTGTTTTATGAATGCATAAGAATGGGACTTTCACCAGCTTACAAGGGACTCTCCTCACCTTTCAGCTATACACTGAGGCGTGGATCTCAACTGCTCATCTGAGATCCCAGACCAGGGCATCTGCCACACCAAGCCACACAAAGCTTAGCAGTGCTCACAGGCCTTTAATCTGAACTTCCTAGCCACACTCCATCATCGGCCCAGCTCACCAGGGAGGGATAAAGATATATAGCCAGGCATGCTACACCAGCTCCAAGTCTGAGAGGGTAGGGCTGGGGTCAGGCTAGAGCCTGGGCAGGGGCCTCCTGGCCCCAGGCGATGAGGGAGTTGCTAGCCTGAGCAAGCTCGGTGATGGACACTCGGCCCCGCTGTCGGATGAAGTTGGCCACAGCAGCCAGTTCCTCTGGGGTTATGTAGATGAACTTGCCCCGGTCGTCAATCACACCTGTGGGGACATGCAGGTTGGAGGACTGAGCCATTTTGGGGCCTCCCTATCTGGCCTGAGAATGCTTACCCATTCCTTCATAACTAGCTCAGAGCCCTTCAGGTCTCCTGCCTGCCCAGCCTTTCCTTGCTGCATCCCACCCAAGCAGATAAGTCAATCAGGCTTCCTGGCCTGACCTTATCAACCACAGCCAGTCTGAAGCTGCTCAGCATGTCCTCCTCCTAAATGGGACCGACTACTTAGTGCCCCTTGCTATATACCCTTCCCATACGCAGAAAGGTCAGTCTGGCTCTGCAAGGAAACCCTGTAACCCCTAGACACTCCCCAAGGTCAGGGCCTGTACTATTGATTCTCATACTCTTACCTGTTAGAGTCCCCTCAGCCAACAGGTCCTGGATGCGATTTATGGTGTCCTATAAGGAGAACAATTAGTGGAGAGACAGGTGGTCTTGTCCCCAGAAAAAAAAAACATGTGCAAGCCTTCTTCCCACCACAGACAAATTCCGTCTTGTTCTCAAAACTGTCCTGTAGTATGACTCTGTGCTGCTTCTCTGGAAGGACCCTGGAGAGAAGGGGCCCTGGTTCTGGGCTCTGCAAGATCCCAACAGAAGCTCTCTTCCAGTGGGAGAGGAGCGGTGGAGATGTGGCTACAGAGAAGCTGTCTGCAAGGGAGTTGTCAAGGTAACTGGATTTCGGCTGTTTGGTCATAGGAGCTGATAGAGGGATGGGATTTTTTTTTCTTTCCACTTGTTCTTCTGTCTAGCAGAAATGCAGTATTTTGAAGGTGCCAAGAGATACCTACAATCTGCTTACTCTTGGTTGAGGGCAGGTTAGAGGGGCATTGGGAATCTCCATCTTTAGGGCAGGACAATTCTACTGGCCACACAGACCCCACAGGCTCCTTCCAGGGCTTACCTGAGTCCGTAGGCCCACCTGGGAAGCCAAGTCTTCTAAAAGCACAACTTTGGACTTCTACAAAGGAGAGGGAGAGAAAAGGAGAGAGGCTGAGCTTAGGCAAATCCCTCCCACATGGGTGCCCTCTGAGGTCTGCATTCTTATCTGACCTATTCTGTTTATGTATTCTTTTCATTTTTATTTTTTCCTCATACTGGGGATCAAAGTCAGGACCTTGTGCTTATCAGGCAGGCTCAGTGCCACTGGGCTTCATCCCCACCTCTGACCTATTCTGTTTAAAAAGTTGCTTTTTTTTTGGTTTTTTGAGATAAGGTCTCCCTATGTAGTTGAGACTGGCCTGGAACTCACTGTGTAGCCCAGGCTGGTCTCCAACTCACAGTGATCCTCCTGCCTCAGCCTCCCGAGTGCTGGGATTACAGCCATGCACTACCACACCCAGCTTAA